TATAAAAAAGGAGGGCATGTTTCAGTATTTAGGATAAAAGTGACGGGAGGTTTAACATAAGTCTTTTACCCTACATATATAATGTGTGAAATAAATTTTATACACATGTTATATGCCATATAATATAAAGTAATATATATATATATATACACATAAAAGTCATATACGCAGAATCAAGCCTGCGTTCAAGCTTATGTTCCAGGCCCAGACCCAGGCTATAGCCTTTACCATAGGTGCTAAGCCTGGTCTGGCCCTGCCCATGATCACCCCTATCAAGCATCATATATTCATATCTTTTTTATAGAACGACTTACCTGTAACCTATATATAAAAGAGAATTTCACAATCATGTTCAGTCGATGATCAAACTTTGGTTTCCAGAATAGTCATTCAGTCATTCTGAACTCATTAATACCTATTCTAGATTCTCACCATTGTTTTTTACTTTTCTTTAGTTCTGCTTTCGAATTCCAGACTTATGATTACTGTTTTGAGGATTTCCCCTCTCTCTCCTTTGAGTCTCTCTAACTCACATGTGGATCATCTATGCTCACATGCCAAAATAATTTGCAGGCAAGTGTTCTCACTCATTCAATCATTGAAGGCAAAGACGTTTCTCAGGGACAAAGGGTTTTCTGATCAGGGGGTGGTTGCTTGGAAATCTCAAATCTGGAATCACCACTGGTGATTCTTCCTCTGCTTCTTCCATTAATAATAGCAGTAGCTTGTTGAAGGTAAGTGATAAGCAAGAGAGTTAAAATTGACTCTTGGTTTGATCTTAAGATGAGAAATGATAAGGGTGCAGTATTGCCCTTAGAAGATATTCCTATTCTTCTCTTTCCAAAATCCCGATACTCATGAAGTAAGGATTGGGCAGAAAAAACGAAAAGGGTCAGCTCCAGGATTGACTCTCCTAGCTTGAACTCAACCTCAGAATTCCAATTGGATGAAAAATGGATAAAAGGACTAAGACAGAGAATTTGACTTCATCCTGCCCCCACAAAGATCTGGAAATTTTTAACTACAGCATAGGCTCTGTTAGATTTTTTCCATGTCTGATAAAATTTCTCTATCTTTTCATTGTAATCGTGTTGTTTCATTTTCATGATTTTTTGTACACAACCTTACCCCTGCACATAAAGAGAAGCTGTTTCCAAGATTTGAACCCTGGTCACCCAGGTCGCAATGGAGCAACCCAACCATTGCACCAAGACCCACCCTCGAATAACCAGATAGAAATTTAAATTAAAGAATGAGGGGAACGGAATAGTTTTTGTTATCTTCTTATATTTTATAGAGAAATATATAACTGTACTTTTGACTTTCACAAACATATATCAAATTTCTACGTGACAAAGTTCAGGTACACCATTGGGAGAGGCTGATGGAGAGGCCAAAAATTTAGAGATAGCTTAAAAATATGGAAATTATGATTGAAAAAAAAAAAAGAATTGTCCAATATTTCTTCTTGTTTCTCTTCATATATTCTGTCCCGGTTTTGAGTTCTCCGTATTTTCAAAGACTACCATCATCTCCTCATAATCTGCATGTAAAGTTCTTGATCTTCATTCTCGTTCATTTGCTTTTATTTTAATATTTTTTCTTGATCAATTTATTGAATGATGTAATAGTGATTGTTGTATGAGTTCACTTGGACCAGGAAGGAAGAGAAAATGAAGGCAATGAATCAAGATAATATTATATATATCATCTGCGTAACAGGGGCCCTTGCCTGGTACCAGTTGTAATGGAATTGATTTATGTTCACCTGCCAAGGGTGCAACTTGGGCAGACCAGTACAGGAACAGGACCATGTAGCGTAGCTCTTAGATATCATCTTTTAGGTTCTATATTTATTATTTTCTGATTCCATGCAAGCCTAATCTAATAGACTGGAAAGCTCAGTCCAAAAAGATTATACTCTTATTATCTTATATCAAGTCACACTAGCTAAAGACCTCAAGTATAGTTCTACCTATCTCAAGTATATTCATCAATCCTCATAACTCATAAGAACATATGCAAATTAATAATTGGATGCTGGTGATCTGTCATCTACACAATAAGAAATTTCAGGTAAAACAATATGAGGGCCAGAACCAGAATCTCTAGGTAAAACATACGAGGACCAGATTCTCTTGCAGGACAAAGAAAATTTTCTAGGTAAAACATATGATAACCAAAATCTCTTCATGAAGCAGTGATCTGCTAAACTTTTGTAACCATAAGTGCTCTGCAAAGAATAAACTGCCAAGAATGTCCATGATTCAATACTATCAACTTTAACCATTCAGATATATTGATATTCCCTATTCTTTAGTTGTCAGCTTACATGTGCGAAGCACGCGCCCTTTTGCTAGTCTTTTTATTTTTGGATCAGAAACACAGAATTTATTCATTAGATTAAAAAAGCATATACAACAAGAAGTTGTGGGCAGAAAAAGAAGCCAAAAAGAAAATCCCACTAATAACAAAACAGCCCAGAACATAGATTGTCTTTGAATTCCTTGTTTTTCTAGACCATCAGCCATGCTGTTAGCTGATCTCCTAATCCATCTTATTTGAACCAACATGTCTTTAGATATCTGCTTGAAGTGCCTGAGCTCATTCCTTAGCTTCCATATTACCCCTTCCCCCTTCTTCAGCCAGCTTACAACAATTTTTGAGTCCCCTTAACCAGCCTGTTAATCCCCATTTCTTTAGCTTTTTCAACACCGTACACTGCTGCCATCAGTTCTGATCTAACCACATCACCATGCTGAATAGGACCTCAGCAAAGTTCAAAGTATTGACACGTATCGGCCGATACGTATCATTCCGGGTGGAGGAGCCCTAAACCGGCCCCCTTGAACTGCTTGCGAAAAAAAATAAAAAAAAAAAGCAACAAAAAGCAGTACCAATTCGCCTGATACGCCCCTACCGGTGCATCGGGCGTATCAATATTTTGAACCTTGGGCCTCAGTACATGGCTAAAATATTTCCATTCTTTTCCCTTATTTCCCAAACAACTACTATCAAAATTTAATTTCTTCCACCCAGCAGTGGGAGGGGACCAGACCTCATTTGCTATAGATCTTCAAGATGCAGTGTTAGAAATTGCTCCCCTATATCTGAAGAAGTCTTCTGTCTTGAAATCAGCAGATAACTTTAATGTTTTCACCCGATGTGCCCTTTTGCTAGTCATTATAAGGATGAAACAATTTCCAAAGGAATAAATAAAATATTAGACAAGTGTTATACTGGGGCTCAAATGGATTGCCAAGGGCTGAAAACTGGGAGACCACATGTTATGTATGTGGTGGCTGGTGGGGTCACAATCTTGTTATTTTATTGACCACATCACTTTCTATGTCAATATGTGCCTGTAAATAATGGTTTATGAACCAAAGATTGCAAGATTTGGACAATTTAAATAATTCCTTGGATAAGTGGCATAACAAAAAAGTTTGCTAATGGCATAGTATTAATTGATGAAATAAAGGATTAATTCAAAACTAGGTTCATGGACAAATGCCTTAGAAACAAGAGATTTTAAAATAAGCAAGATTAGAATAGAATATGTGCAATATAAATTTATCAATAATAATAGAATGCAAATCAGGGTATACTCAGGATTGGAGACTAAGAGATAATTCAATGTGGCCTCTTCCTTTACTTTGGTTCAATAATCCATAACAAAGGAGAGGTTGAAGAGGATGTTGTCCATAGAATTAAGAGTAAGATGGCAAAATGGAGGGGAGCATCCGGAGTCTTGTGTGATAGGTGAATGCCATGGAACAATGTTGAGAAGTCAAGGAGCAATGTCCAAAATATTAGTTCAATAAGTTGATATGGCTGCAAATAGATCAAATCAAACCATATTTGTCCACCACTAGCTTCCTACATAAAGTTTGGCATTATCTGACATCACCACAACCACTTGCTTAGAATAGCTTTTTCATCAATTTTATATTACAAAGACCCCTATATCAACAAGATTACCGAGTACAACTCTTTGATGCATAGATTCTTGTCAAATGATCAGTAATCAAACTGGCTGATCTAATCCCAGGGAAACTGAGTATAACTAATTGATGCAGATTCTTGCCAAACTATCAGCAATCAAATTGGCTGATCTAAGATTCCAGGGAACAATGTCTTACTCTGGACATCAATGATCTCGCTTCTCTAACCTGATAGCATAATTCCAATTTCCAAGGACCACTATATATGTCGTTCCCTAGCCGATGGCACCAAGTTTTCCTTGATAAGTATTATCTGATAGCCCATAGAGAGTGATGCTTTAAACTTCCAAGTTAGATGATATCAGTTCTCTTAGAATGACTTGTGCCCACTACCCACTAGACCAAAGTATTCTAGGATAACATCAGTTTAGTCATCCCTAAAAACTCCTTCCCAGGATAGTCCATGTAGCCTAGAGAGAATTATTCAAAGTTTAGCCTTTGAGTCCACTAAACTAACTAGTCCATTCATTGGTCAACAATGAAGTTCTGTAGGGCTTCTTATCCCCTAAAACACTCTTGTTCTAGAAATACTTCTTCAAGTTATATTTCCTAAGTGGGCACAATTCAGTAATATATAGTTTTTCTGACTATGATGATAGCAGCTATAAAGTTTTACAACCATCCTTTCAGAAAGGAGAATGTGAATCTGGCCACAACATCTTCATAAATGAATTTATTGAAAACCAAAAAGATGTTGAAGAAGATAATATACAACAATCAGCTCTCCTACATGCGAGTTCATGAAACCTCTAAAAGATGCCAGAACTAAAACAAAATATTACTGAAGCAAATACACCAAAGCATCCTCAAACATGGAACCTTGGAGAAGCCCCCCATGGCTTTGGGGGAGGCCTTCCAAAATAAATTTCTCCTCCCTACGCATTAAATAATAGTAAAGCCAAAATAAAAGGCATTTAAAACAGGTGCATTCACCAAAATTTATAGAATTATTTACATTTCTTATCTCAAAACAAAAGATGAGGTACAGGAGCTCACCAATTTGGGACCTTGCTCATAACCATAAGACAGTGCAGCTTCTGCCAAGGCATCCATGCTATTATGAACTGGCAGGTTTCCCTAGAAACATCAAAAAAATGCAAAGTTATGGATATGCACATAGGTTGCTGGTCAGATTGAACATCAAAAGTATGAGCTTATAAAAGTCTTACCTTAACTGGTAACTTAGGGGGTTTATTTAGCACAATTATAGCAGAGTCCTGAAAATTGCTAACCCATGAAGTAATCAGAAATTCCATGGTTCAGAACAGTGTAATTGTATTTATAATTGACAATGCAACTGTAGAATCAGACTGAAGAACGACAACAAAGAACATAATCCTAAAGCATCACTTTATAATAGTGGATGGAGGAAACCATGGACACCCATAGATCCATCCACGTGTGTAGGACATGTGTGATAGATATCATGCCCATCAGCCCATGTGAGCTAATGGGGGCAGGTTATGTGACTATTTTCCAAGACTTCAAACAGAGAAAGGAGAGGTTGGTTTCATGGTTTCAAAGTTACAAATGGAAGTCCTTACATATTACTGCTAAAGTTTGTGGATGACTCGGGGGTCATTTGACAATGGCTGAATTAGCAGTTCTGAAGGACTTGTTGCTTTGTCATTTAGTGAATAAGACATTAAGTAGCGGATGAACTATTTAATGGCTGAATTGCCTCTGTTAGAACATTTAATTTCCATCATTCATGTTCTCATTTAAATATGCTCTCTTGTACTTTTTTAAGCAAATTACCAATAATGAGACCTTTTTTTATGAGGCATTCTATCATATGGATGTACTCATTTTTTTGGAAGGTGCTCAAGTAATATTGTAGGGCATTAGATGATGAGTAAGTAGAAAACTCAATAACCTGGTTCTTTATAGACCTGAAACATACCAACTGAGAATGATTCTGGAGGATTCACTTAAATGGTTGACACATCTATGGTTGTCATTGAATGTGGTGGTAAAATCTCAAGCACTTGAATGAGACTTTAGACTTACATGTGGGTGTGTAAAAGATACACATCGATGTGATCACCCAACTGAGTGCTTCACCGAATGATAGATAACTATTGATTGCATGAATCACTCAAATGCAAAAGCAACTATAGTCCTTAGGCTTGAGAAGTTCTTAAAAACATAGGGTTCTTCAATTACTTTAATATACCAAGCGTGTCATTACAATGTGACCAATAATTCTCTATAAGTTCAGTGCTTCAAAGTGATTCTAGGCTTTGGAAACTGTTTAATAAGAATTCCATACCCTCAGTGATTGGTGTCTATATTTAAAAATAAGAGTGATATATAAAGTTCTAATAATTATCGTTGAATTGAACCCATAAAACACTATGAAACTTTGGCAGAGAATAATCGAACAAAGATTATGACATGAAACAAAAATTTTTGAAAACCAATTTGGGTTTATGCCAAGGAGATCGACCATGTGAAGAAGAGAGATCTTCATATGGTTGTTGTTGATTTAGAGAAAGCATATGATAGAGTCTTTAAAGAGGTAATATGGTGGGTGTCGTAAAAGAAAGGAGTCCCAAATAGATATGCAGACCTAATTAAGGATATGTATGGGGGTGCATAAACCAATGTTAGAACACCTATGAGAGAGACATTAGATTTTACAGTTACAATGGATATTCAGTTCTTCACCAAGGTTCAGCACTTGACCCTTATTTATTTGCACTAGTCACAGATGAATTGACTAAACATATTCAAGAGGAGGTCCCATGGTATCTGATGTTTGCTGATGACATAGTATTAATTTATTAAACTAGTTACTAGTGCAGGCAGGTTAGGGTAAGACAATAGAGAGATCTACCTAAAAGACAGTAGATGGCTCTGGGAGAGGAAGAGGGAAGATGGGGAATTGTAGAAGGCTTGAGGGAGGCTAGGGTTTCAATGTGGCAGAGCTTACGTAGGGATCTCTAGACTAGGGTGAGGAGAGCTTCGGGCCTCCTCTATTTATAGACAAGAGGTACGTAAAAGGAGGGAAGCTATCCCAAGTAGGAAAGTTTGTTATTCTATTAGATATAAAACGGGCAAGTTGAGTGGGATGTTGCCACGTGTCTACATAGAGATCCCACGGTCTGTGTTCCCACCCTTCTCTTCAGGATTCATACATGAGTACAATGCAAATACTACCCCCTTCTAGAAGCTAGCTTGATTATGCCTTAGAGATTTCTCGAGAACACCAGAAGTATTGGTGTGACATTGCAAGACCGGTTGTGGATAGGGTGTTCACAGTGGGACTTTTTTTCAAACAGAACTGGTACCGCTGGTTTTTGGAAAACTAAAAACCGAAACCAGTTGGTTAACTGATTGATTGATTCAATTCTTTGGGTTTTTGGTTTTTTTGAATTTTCAATATATGTTATAAATAAATATATAGCTATATAATATAAATACTAGGAATATATGTAATATATTATATTGTAAATAATATATAATATTATATAGTTTGGTTAATCGACTGCTTTTCATATTGGTTAGCTGAAATTGAACCGATCAGTTCGGTTAACCAGAATTTTTTGTTCGTTTTCATCGGTTTGATTCAACTTTTCAGTTTTCCGGTTTTTGATGATCACCCCTAGTTGTGGAGGAGTTGTGCTATCGTGATGTTGTGATATGGTGTTAAGGCAGGATGTATTGTAGCGCAAGAGACCACTACAATGTTGTACCAAGTCATGGGGCAAGATTGTAGTGGTGGGATTTCTTTAGTTAAGAATATTATGCTTGCGTTGCGATAACAAGTCATTATTTCGTATCATAACGACAAAAGTGATTGTTGCAATTTTGTGGTTATTGCAAGGCGGAATCACGATGTGGATTTAAGTCTATAATGTGATGTGGATGCACTATGGTGATGTGCTTACATGGCCTCCATTGCAATTCCCATGATGTCCAAACTTACAACTAGCAAAGGATTAAATGCAAAATTAGGTTTATGGACACTAGCATTAGAAGCAAGATGTTCTAAAATAAGTAGGACAAAAATAAAATATATGCAATGTAAATTTAATAATAGGAGTCCAAACTAGGGTACACTTAGGATTGGAGACCAAGAGACAAGTTAGCATGCTAGTAGGATTTGGACGTTTGTTGCCCCTTCCAAGGTGAAGCTTTTGGTTTGCACTATAGCTCTTGAAAAGTGTTTGACTAGAGACAAATTGAGTAGAAGAAGCATGATTCTGGACAATGTGGGTTGTGTACTTTTTCCTAGTGACTTGGAAACTGCTAATCATTTATTTTGGAATTGTACTTTTACATCCAAAATCTAGGCTATAGTTTTGGAAACTTTCGAATGGATTGGATGCTTCCCACAAACTATTATGGAGTTTTTTGGTTGGTTGGTAGATGCAAGGTTTGCACAAAAAAGGAAAGGCTGTGGTGGGGGTTGATGCCTATTGCAGTGTTTACTGTGTATGGGAAGAGAAGATTGCTGGAATTTTTTAGAAAATCAGTTCTGTGAGCAGGTGGTACTTGCAAAAATCAAAGGAAAAAATGTGTTCTTGGTTGGGAGTACATAACAATTTTAATTGTTTGATTAATAGCAGACTTTTTATAGGGATGTTTTATTTGATAATGTAAAGTTGTATAGCCCCCAATTATTTAAAAGGTGTGCCTAGGCACACAGGTGAGGTGCATTTTAGGATATGCACCTCACATAGGTCCTAGGCACAGCCCTTTCAAAAGGTGAACGCTAGTGCGCCTAGGCATGTGCCTCAGCCTAGGTGTGCGCCTTTTGAAAATTTCACGTTTTTTTGCTTTTTTTTGAACCTAGCAGCTGGGCTGAGGGCTCCACCCCCATACCACGCCCCTTGAGGCAAGCCCACCGAAGCTTCGAGAATCCCCTATTTGCTAATGTTGTTCATTCAATCATCCTAATAAAATATCTTCCTAAACAACAATTAAATTTATAAAATCATTATTTCTTGTGTGAGAACTAAGAATTAAAGACCCTAACATGGACTTGTTTGAGCTTGCCTCGAGGGGCATGACACAAAGGCGGCTTGTAGAATTAGGAATGTAATATGTCTTAGATCACATTACCTACTTGAAGTAATGCAATTGAGGAAAAAAAGAAATTGTGGTTTTTACATGCTTGAAAATGTTTAATATGTTTGATTTTATTTCGAAATTTTCATTTGAATTCACTTTAATTGTTTTTTTTTATGTATTTTAATTTTAGATAATAAGTTTTCTAAAACATTTATTTTAAAACTGAAGTTTATACTTTTTATTAATATTATGTTTAATATTTTTTTGCATTTTTTTGAATTTTTTGACGTTTTATTTTTAGCTTTTGTTTTTGTATTTTGGGCCTTGCTTCAAAAAGGTGTCGCCTCGAGCACAAATTATTGGCCCCTGTGCCTTTTGCGCTTTTAAAACATTGATAATCCCTTTACTTTAAAAAATCATAACAAGAGAGAGACTGAGGCAGATGTTGCCCATTGGATTAGGCAAAATTGGGCGGGGGGGGATTAGTCTTATGTGAGAGGAAAATACCACTTTGGCTAAAAGGAAAATTCTAAGAGCAGCTATATTGTATGGAACGGAATATTGGGCAGTTAAGAAACAACATGTCCAAAAAAATAGATAAAATGCAAATGCTTAGATATCGTGGTAAAATTAGAAAGGACGAGGTTAGAAATGAAGTCATTCGAAGGGACCCAACACCAATAGGTGATAAAATGAGAGAAAGTAGATTGAGATAATTTATTCATGTGCATAGAAGACCATCTACAACACTTGTTAGAAAAAAAGCAATATGTTACAAGTTGAAGGGGCTAGAAAAGCTAAAAGCAGACTGAAAAGAACTTGGGTGGAAGTAATAAGAAATGATTTAAGCACCATAATTAAGCAATGGATATGGCACTTAAATGGAACAGAATGGTGAAATAGGATTCATACAACCGACTCCTTATAGTTGGGAGTTGGGACAAGGCTTAAATGATTATGATGATGATGACAATGAATCTCTGATTTACTCATAGTTTTCAAGGCGCCAAGGTGAGGCTAGGCAACAGGGGGGTGCCTTGATGCCTAGTCGCCTAGGCGATTTAAGTGAAAAATACATATCCTAGGTAGTTCCCTAGGTTCCATAACCATCTTTCCTTAATAACTATCCATAATTTTCATAAGAAAATTATAAACTTCATGTTTATGTGTAGAAAATCAACATATTTATGAGAAGAAA